GGAAATGTTGGGCGCCATTTGCGCATTGAGCCCAAAAGAAACAGACTCCAGGCAAGATCATCTCGATGCATATCATACAGTGTTACTTATTCTCAGATGGCTGAAAGCAAGGTGCGGCTGCAGGCAGAGACTCAGAGTCGCACGTGGTGCTTTTGCCGGGCGCTGCAGGCCGAGACGGTGCTGCTGCAAAGTGTGGTTGCAAAGCGCTGCAGCGGGACTCAGAGTTTGACAGGGTGCTGCAGCATGATGCTGCTGCACGCAAAAACTCTTGCAGGCAAACAGGGTGCTGTCGCAGGCTGCAGGCTGAGACTCAGAGTTGCGCAGGGTGCTTTTGCAGCTTCCTGTTGTGCGGCAGAGCGCTTTTGCGGAGTGCTGCAGCAGGCCAAGACTCAAAGTTGCGCGGGGTGCTTTTGCAGGTGCTGCTGCAGGCTCTTGCAGGGTGCTGCTGCAGGCCGAGACTCAGAGCGCGCAGGGCGCTGCTGCAAGGCCGCCGCCCGGCGCTGTTGCAAAGTGCTGCTGCAGGCTCAGGCCGAGGCTCAGGGTTGCCCAGGGTGCTGTTGCAGCCGGGGCGCTGCGTCCCACCGCGCCCGGCGCCGTAGTCTTCCCGCAGTCTTCCCGTTTGTTTTTTCCTGCCTATCATCTTGCGCTGGCCAAGCCATTTTAAAGGCGAAGCGCCGGCGCAATCTGTTGTGAGAATTATGTTGGCCGCTCTGCCAGGTGGCATGGAAAGTTATTGGAATGAACTTTTGCTAAACTTACATCTTGCCCAACATGGTGATTGCCTTTCGCATGAAGGGAGGGAATATGAGTGCTTTATTTTCTCGCACCCGCTTGACAGCCAACCGTTTTGTGCGGAAGCAGACTCTGCACCGTTACCCAGTTGTTATGTATATTGAGCGCCGAATGAGTCGTTTGCCATGGGGCTGGGTTCGACAGAATGCCCGTTCTAATTGGACACGGCGCTTTGCCCCAACCCTGAAAAGACAAGCAGTGGGTCAACCGCCAGAAGCGCCAGAAGAGAGCAGGAAGGCTTCGGTCGGCGGCCTTTAAATCCAGGGACTCAATCTTAGTTTTTTGTTCATCGGTTGACGACCTTTTCGCTCAGAAATTCAGAGGCTCAATGTCTTAGCGGTGTTCGCTCGCCCCCCTGTTGGTTGACAATGCTGGATTCCACCCCTGCTAAGAAATTCAGGGCTGAATTCTCTATATGTATAAGATTATCGCGGCTCAGCTGGGCAAAGTACAACCAGTTCACCTGGGGGTGAAACGAATTCACCTGCGCAAAGGTCCCTCGGGTGTTCTCTTGTTTCCTGCTTGTAAATAAACATGTAATTTGCTCAGATCCAGCTGACCAAGTTGGTTTGTGCAGCGATGCCACACGTTCAGCGCTGCAGGGGCGCTGTGTTGGACAATCTGACGGAGGTGCGGGCAGTCCGCGTTGAAGGTGTTGGTTGATTGAGCTGATTTGTTGCATGAATCTTGCCAAACATTGCGACGCCGCAAAGGGGCAGCGACATCGCCTCACTTCAAGTTTTTTTTTTTTTTTTTTTTTTTTTTTTTTTAAAAAAATATATATATATTTTTTTACTTTTTTTTTTAATTTTATTTTTTTTTTTATGCAGGCCCCTTGCTTTTGGTTTGCTACAACCTAGCTGTTCATTCTGTCTGCAACATTCAGGACGGTTCTCCATTCATTGGCCTTCACGTCTTCCGTTGTGTGTGTGTGAGAGCGCGTGCACGCATGCGTCTGTCTGTGTGTGTGTGTGTGTTGGTGCGCGCGTGTGTCGGTCGTTTTTGTTTGGGTGTTGCTGTGTGTGTGTGTGTGTTGTGTGGTGTGGTGTGGTGTGGTGTGGTGTGGTGTGTTGTGTTGTGGTGTGGTGTGGTGTGGTGTGGTGTGGTGTGGTGTGGTGTTGTGTTGTGTATGTGTGTATGTGCGTATGTGCGTATGTATGTGTATGTGTATGTGTATGTGTATGTGTATGTGTATGTGTGAGTGGGAACGGGTGTGAGTGTCTGGTGTGTCTGCTTGTGCGTGTCCGTGTTTGTGTGTGTGGGTGTGTGTGGGCCCGTGCGTGTGTGCGTGCAAGCGTGCAATAGCCTGGAGTCAGGCTGGTGCTTTCTCACTACGGACCAACATGCGACCACCTGTGTTTGACACTGTGAGGACCGGGTGCTTCACTCCAGGTCTTGGAACGAGAGCAGGCGCGTGGCATGGTTCCTTCGGTCGTGTTGAGGGCCGGCCAAGAGGTCTCAGGATGCTGCTGGTCAGCTTGACGTCGGATGCAGGGACTGGCAGAGCGCTGTTGGTCAGCGTGACGCACGATGGGCCTTGCTGCGCGCTGTTTGGTAAGGTTGCCGCAGGATGCACTGTCGGGCGTGCTGCTTGTCAGACCGCAAGCAGTTGGACAGTGCTGTTCGGCGGTGTCGCTGGTGAGTGTGACGCAGGGCGCAAGGAGTTGCAGGGTGCTGTTCTTGCTGGTCAGCTGAATGCAGGGCCTTTCAGGGTGATGTTTGGCGCTGCCTTTACGTGGTTTGAAGTTGTTTTGTGAATACCGCCTTGCATGTTAGTTGGTCTTCAGCGGAGCGAGTTGCGCTTTGTTTCTTCGCCAGGATGAGTGTGGTCTCCTGGCCATCGGAGTATTTCGAGGCTTGGGTTTTTGTTGGACGAGTTTTTGTCACACCCCTCTTTGAAAAAACCCAAGTACACCACCCCACCCCAACATATTTGATTGGGGGAAGGCTAAAGCAGACCAAAACAGGCAGTGGGCTTGCGCGGTGATGAGCAGTTTTAGGACTTTGTCTCCGAGTGCAGACATGTCTTGCCTCAAGTTTGCTTGGTGGGAAAATCAGCCACTTCTTCATTTGAGATGAAATTGGTGTGTCGCTTTTGTTGAGGTCTGCCCGAAGCTGCCACTGAAATTCCCTCATGCACTTGTTTGCGCTATCCCACGTTCGGACGTTTTTGAGCCAACGTTGTAGAGCCATCTAGAGCAGATACGATATGTTTGGGATTCGCAATTCTCAAAAACAACAAACAGTTAAACAGACAGACAGATGCAGCGGATGGCAGAGGAAGAACGCAAAACATGTTTGTTGAGCCGATACATATAGCTGCAACCGCTCAAACAAATCAGTTTCATGCACTTTGGCACGGTGGAAGGAACACTTAAGATGTGTATAGAAAACTGTATATTCAAATGCTCCAAACGCATCGGGCAGTTCATCCAAGTGCTCCGCATGTTGCAACCCTTATTTTCCAAGGAAGTTGTGAGTGGAATGTGTGCATTGTTTGTCCCGAACGCAGAAAAGCCCCCTTTGGTTTGACATGTTTGTGCCGTGAGGACCGGAGGCTTCCTTCCAAATGCGAGAGCAGGCGAACGGGAGGAGTTTGCGGAAACCTAGGCCCCATGTGAGGCTTTGGTTGAGCAGCGGACATTGCCAGGGTCGGTTTTGGACTGGCCATGTCCTTTTGGTTTTGCAGATGGGTATCGGTTTTGGGTGGCCTCTATCGGTTTGTACAGTTGCCGGATGTTCGCAGTTTCCCAAAAGGTATTGCTTTTTGTGAATAGCAGGAGAGGGTACCACCTAGCAACCTGTTGCCTGTTGCATGTTGGCTTCGAGCTCCAGGCTCATGGAAAGACAAGTGGCGGACCTCCACTCCAAACTCCATCCTAGGGAGTCTCCTTTCGGGAAAGGCTCTTGGGGATGGTAACTTGCAGGGGAGTTGTATGTCACCAGAGGATGGTTACAAGTCACAAGGGATGGTAACCATCTTGCTTTCTTGTATTCGTGTCCAAGTCACAAGAAAGCAATACATGCCAAACTTGGCAGGCCGAGTGTCGTGTCGGACTATCCGGAGGCTGGGGGCTGGACTGGTCGGCCAGGTTAATTTGTCCCACGTGGTTTTGCATGTTGCTTTATGAAGAGCTTTGGTTGGCGGTCATCAATTGAGAGTTGCTTTTACCCGGAAATGATTGGGGTGTGAGGGAGCTATTGTTCTGTGGTGTATTGGGCATTCACAATGCATGTAGCTGGTCTCTCCTGATTTGAACCAGAGTAAGTGTTGCAATATGCTTTCCTATCACGTGGTAATTTGGTTCTAACAGTATTTCAATTATTTAGTCCCTTGTGGGTAGGAGTCAAATCTAACAATTATGCGTTGTCTGTCTCAAAAACACAAACCCTGGGAGTATTGCATTGTGGGAAAGTCGGGTGCACAGGACTGTTCCTGACTCCCGCTATCGCTTCTTTGGGTGGTAAATAGTCCACAACGTTTACACATATTTTTTAGAGAAAGCTAAACTACGTTGTTTGCTAGACCCCTTATTTAGCATCCAGTTCTATGAAGACAAGTGAGTCGTTGGGCTAGGTGAGATCAGGTTGGTCAGATTATGCCAGTGAGATCAATCTGTTTGTTTCTTACACACCTAGGGACCCCACCCAAGGTCGCTTTGTGTTGGCTTCAACGTCATTCAGAAGGGTCCATAACTATGTTGGGATGCCTGCAAAGGGCCATTACGGCTGTTGACATGTGTTGTTGGTTTGTAAATTAAGAAGCAAATAAATGAACACATTATATATATATACATGTATACTACAACCAGTCTTTTCTGCCTGTGAGATGGAAGTTGGCTTGCTTGAGGCTCTGCATTTGATCTGTCCATTCAAGATTCTCAGGACTCTTATTTTGAATATTGCATCCAGCACAGCAGGATTTTAAAGCGGTTTGAGCATCCTGCTCAAATGCATGGGCAGAACAATGCATAACAGGACGAACCTGAGCACATTAGTCGTCTGGTTGTAGTTAAGCATAGATGATTTTCTTGTACCGAACCCTCAATCTATGCTAGACGATCGAAAGTCCTGTGTTTGCCATCATAGTATTTTAGCCTTGTTGGGAAACTCTGAAATCAATGCCAAACAAGCATTCTGAAATCACTAAACATAGATAAAACAACCAAAGAGAGAAACAGAAAACACCTGACCCCAGACGAAAGGTCTGGCAACTCCATCTCTGTGCAGAAACTGTGTAGTTTTCTTCGGGTTGTTTTTGTTGTGTTGCCCGGTGTTGTTTTTCTTCTTGTTTCCGGTTCTGGAAAGGGATCGACAGGGATCTTTCTGGGAGCAGAGCGCAAACTGGAAAGCCCGAACAGACACCATAAAACACAACCTGAAGTGGGTCTGGGCTGTGCTTTATGCAGTTGTGCGTGTATGTATTGTTTTCTTCTGGTCTTCCATTGGAATTCTCCCTTTGGCATTTTCCTATTGGACTTTTCCCTGTGGAGTTCCCCCATCAAAATGTTACCCGCTGGATTTGTCCGTTTTTTTCTCTTACACTTGTCCATTCAGAATTTCCCTTTGGCAATTTCTCGTTGGAAGTGTGCCTTTGCAAGTTTCCCATTGGGTTTTTGCTTCGACCAGTTTCCCTCTATAATTGCCCCTTTGGCAATGTCCCATCGGAAGTTTGCCATTGCAAGGCTTGTGTTGGAGCTTTCCTTTTGGAATTGCCCCTTCGAACATTTTCCCTTTGGAAAGGCTTACGTGCAACATCAGCGATTGCTAACAAGTGCATTTGTTTTGCATTTGTTCTTCCATTGGGACGGTCAGATTTTCAGCCATTGATATTTTCATATGTTTAGCCATCATTATTTTAAATCGTTAAGCCACTAAGGTTTTCAGATTTTAATACGCTACGATTTTTAGATTTTAAGCCAGTAATGTTTTCAGCCATTGAAATTCTTATTTGAAGCCCTTGGTATTAACATATGTTAAGCCATTGAGATGTTAAGACTTTGAGCCATGCAGATATTCATGTCAAACCCCTAAGATTCAAACTGTTATTCCACTAATATTCTATTGCTTGGAGCCATCAAGATTAGAAGATGTTAAGCCATTTAGATGTTGTTGCAATTAAGGGTATTTACACGTTAAGCCGCAAATATTTTAAGAATGTGAGTCATTCAGATTCTTTAGAGTTTAATCCATTTAGATGTCCAGGTTTCAGCCATCAATATTGTAGTATTAGATGTTCAGACTTTACGCTAGCAATATTTTAGCAAGTGAAGCCGCCAATATTTTCAGTTTGTAAGTGCCGTAAATGAAGGGATTTGATGTGGCCCGTGGCCCGTGGGGAGGGGTAAGGGGCGGGGCAACAGGTAAAGAAGTAAGACGCATTTCTTATGTCCAACACGCCGGCGGACTTCCATAATTGTGCGCGAGTTTTGCAGAATGTAGCCGCTTGGCCACTTGTTCCCCTTGTCCGCTTGGTCTACTTGGTGCGCTTTCCCTTGGTCCACATGTCCGCTATGTCTGCTCGAAGGACTTGTCCACTTGTCCACTTGGTTCGGCAGGGGCAGTTGGACATGTGGCCGTGGCTACTTGGACCACTTGGTTGGTCCACTTGTCCACTTGGTCGACTTGGTCCACTTGCTCCACTTGCCCACTTTGTCCACTTGTCCGCAAATTCACTGTGTCTGCTCGGCCGGGCCAAGTGGACAATTCACTGTGTCTGCTCGGGCGGGGCACGGCCACTTGTCCACTTGTCCACTCGGTCCACTCGGTCCACTTGGCACTTGGCCCCCGAGCAAATGGCCGAAGCCATTGTCCACTTGCCCAAGCAAGTGGCCAAGTGGACCGAGCGTCCGAAGCCATTGTCCACTTGCTCCCCAAGCAAGTGGACAAGGTGGCCAAGTGTCCGTCAGCGATTACTGCCCCGGATTCCGCGCGCCCTGCAGTAGAATTAAATCTCCCCCCCTTCCTTGCAGCTTGCTTCGGCGTTCTCACCGCATCCCCCCCAGCCTTAGAAAACATATAAATTAATCAAGCGCCTCCCCGTTGCTTCAGCGTCGCTTCAGCGTTGTGACTGCTGCAGTCCCCACCCCTCTCGGCAAAAAACACCTAATAGTAAAGCTCCCCCCCCCCCCCGCTTCCTTTCCCCGTTGCCTTTCCTTGAGTTTTCGGAGTGCCAAATGACTGTGCCCCCCCCGCCAGGCTTTGGAAAGTGGCTTCGCGTGCGGCCTCAACAAAAACAAGTTTTTGAAGGTCGCCCCCCCCCCTGAAAGTCCGCAGAGGGTTGAGCGAGGTTTGCTCGAGCTAAGTGAAAATCGTAAAACAAGTACACGCTTTTGAGTGTCGACCTACGCAAAGTGCGCAGAGGCTTCACTGATTAAGGGCTGCGAAGCATGGTCCCGCCACGGGAACGCTCCGAACCTGCTCCCGAACCACCTCCGCCAGGCATTGCAACCGAGGTGGCTTGCACACATACGGCAAAGCCAAATTCATGTACAGGGAAATCTGCATCTTGCTATTCCCCGTTCGCGCGATGTGTTGCATTGTCCTAGCATTTTCGCGAGTTATGCATGCATTTTTTCGAGTTTCTTGTTTTTTTTGTCGTGGCTGTTTCATGCTTATCGCACGCATTTGTTAGAGAGGGCTAGCCTCAATTTGTTCCAGTACTAAGTATGGAAGTTCTTGTCAAACGACCCTTGATGCTGGGAATCTAATATTATGCCCTGGCAACACTAAGCTTGGTATTGTTGATACGAAATTAAGTACTGGAAACCTATGGAAAGCAAATTTTAAGCCTTGGTAATACCAAACATGGATTTGGCAAGCCTAAGTGAAGCACTGGGAATCTGAGTTAAAGTATTGGCAATATTATTTTTAGCATTGGCAATATTAGAACAAGGATTGGCAAATCCAAGTCTAACCCAGACCCCTCAATTTGTGCACGAAGATGGTCAACACGAGTGCTTGCCCTGTTCAGAGGGGGGGTGAGGGACGCAGGACATTATACCGTTTGGGAACATAGGAGGCGATGGTTCAAGTGACCAAATTGTTCGCTTCTGTCGCCTGATGCTCTAATCTTCTCCCCCGGAATCGTGTTTGTTTGCGTCGACCCATGCACACACTACGTGACAGCGTGTGTTGAACAAGTCGCTAACATCGAAGTGACACATGCGTTTGCGAAGGACGTAGGCCATCGGCGATCCCAGGACTGGGAAAGCAAAGGTGAAGGTTTGAGGACAGTCCAATCATACATCGGTGCGGCCCATTGTTTGTGTCACGACATGCGGAATCAATGTTTGCCATCATTTGCAGGGGGATTATTAGGACATGGGAGTTGCTCACCAAGTTCCCATGCTGGGAATTGTAATGAATATATTATATTGATTGTGGACCACTTTGACTCGACGGGAAAAGCTGATGGCACGTTTGGCAAGGTGCCACGCTTTCATTTTGTGCTATGCACTGAAGTTGGGTAAGTAGGAATTCTTTATATATATATATATATATGAGCGACTAACTTTATTTACGTTGATGGAAACATGCAAGGGGCTGGAACCATTTTTTTGAAATGTGCATATTTAGCCGCAGAACGAGTTGGGGAACACCCCGAAAACGAGATAGGGCAAACAAGCATGATAACATGGATTAGGATTACATTTTGGCAAGTGCAGCCTGGCAGAGCGTCTTGGGTTCAAGGTTGTTAGATGTGGAGTAGACGACCTACGTCGCATGGTCCGTGGCAACTTCCCACAGACTTTCCGGGGCAAGTGCTGGCCAACCCTACGATGCCTAACTGCAAAAGGGTGTGAAGCAAACTTGCGAAGAAGCAGCGTAGCTGGTTTGTTCAAGATTTGCCCCTGGGCAATTTTCAGCCGTCCAAAAGCGGGCCATGTTAAAACGAGTTCCAAAACGAGTTCAAAACGAGTTCAGAACGAGTCCCCTACAGCGTCCAAGTGAGTATTGGCCCAGTTCCTCCTCTCAAGTATCACTTTTCAACAAATTGTGTAGCAGCAGTTTGCTTAGCGAAAGGTTGTGCGGCATGAACGAAGGAGACAAAGGAGGCGGCAAGCTAGCCAAAGCTCGTTTACTTCTTAAAGCTCCTCTTCTTCAAGCTCTACAGAACTTTGAGCCAGATAAAACGAGCGCGGTGTTGGAAAACGAGATAGGGGGCTGCGACCCAGCGCGGGGTTGGAAAACGAGTCAGGAACACCCGTCCATTACGCCATGTAACAAATAAAAGCCGTTGCTCATATATATGTATACATATATATATATATATTAGCTGGCATGCCCACGTCAGGACCCGCTGCAGTCCAGATCTCGGAACGAGAGCAGGCACATGGTGGCACGGGCATCTATTGTTGTTGGCTATGTCACTTTTGAAGGCACGGCAAGCAGGTGTTCGCAGGGTCTAGCGGAAAGGGAGACTTCCTAGTAATAAAGGACCCCCAAACAAGAGTAAAAATGACTCCAAACAAGAGTCCAGGCCGTGAATACTAAATTTAGAATTCAGAAACTCGAGCCGTGGTAGGGGTTTCCCCCCCAATCCTTCCCTTTCAGAATACTGAAACAACAGAGCCCGAAAATGGCTAGTTTTATTGTGTTTTGTTTGAATTGTGCATGTAACAAATTGCATTTTGGATGCTTCGTTGCGCCTCAAACATGCACCCGCCAACCTGCCTGCCAGCGCGCTTGAAATATGCACACCTACCAACCTGCTTGCCTGATTGTACAGTTACTCGACCTCAGTGGAAACAGAACAATACGAGAAGTCTGAACCATGAACAGAAGTTGCATTCTGTGAGCGAGGAAGTGTACTTTGTGCTACCACTCAAACTACTCCCTGCCACGGCCCCCAGTGTTGTTTTTGCTTTTTGCGGAAATATATGTTTGTGTTTTCCGGGGGGGGGGGACAAATTGGATATGAGGGGGAAGGGATTTCTCGACTTTTGCCTTGGTTTTCCCAGCCAGGCCCAGCGTGGTGTCTTGGCCTTCGGATTCTGAGGCTCGGAACCGGTTAGATTCTGACAAGTCTTTCTAGAGGGAACCAATGGAACCGGCCTTTAATAACCAAAAGGAAAATACCTGGTTACCTACTATATGAAGAAATGGGATCTGCTGGGACAGGTTTGGTCGAATATCCCATCAAGGCGACGAACAAAATGTCCCATTAGACCTTGGGTGGCTCAGTCAAAAGCTTTTCCCGTCTATTGCGAACGCGCACATGTTGACTGCGGCTTGCTTTTGCGCCACATTGACATCGCACTGTATGGCTTAAGACCCAGCCTGCCGAAAAATGAGCCAGCTTGTCGAATGGGGTCCATATATATGGCATCATTTGGCGCAATGAACGAGTGGGCGCTTATTTCGCCACCGCTGCCCGAGGAGATTCCCTTGCCGCAGTTTGTATTGGTTGAATTACACAGGGTCGGCAAATGCATTCCTTGCGTTCCTTACTTCTCCAAGTGGCATTCTGGATACTGCAAGGGCAGAGCCTGTCATCATTGTCACTTGTGCACACCTCGGGAAGCGAACACTCGGCATCGGCAGATGGAGACGCGGAAGTCTGGAGAACGTGGCAAGCGCGAAAAGAGCTTCAGGCTGTGAAGGTGTGGAATTTGTCCTGCAGAGTGCAACTCTGGTTCTGCTGGCCATCGGCCTCGCATCAAGCCGCGCTTTGTCTACCGATGACAATGTGTTGATGGTACAGTGCCGCTACAATCTGAGATGTGTCCCGCGGTCACGTAAGGTTTCATCCTGAGAGAAAAGAATAGTGCACGTCGGGTGCCTTGAGTACTGTCGTACACAGTGCAGTGTGTTTTGTTGTGAATCGGGTGAAATGGATGTTCTCCAATGCGGATTGCAGGTAGTGAGCACCAAGCTATTCTTTGTCGGACTTTGGAATCTGTTATGGCTGCAGAATTGGAGTTGCCAGCATTTTAGGGTAGGAAGCTTTGCCAAGCTCGATGCAAGCCAAGCAGCGCCCCAAACCTCTATTGGGCTGCTTGAGCAGGTGGTGAATCGGGGTATAGATCATGATTATAGCTCCAAACATGTAATTGCCATCTTGGTCGACCCACAAGTCAATGGGTTTGCCTCGCAATTGGGTCAAGCTTGCAGCAGTCTCGCCTTTTGGCTTTCAAGTGAGGCCTGCGGCATGGGCTTTTCAGTTTCATGGCTTCTTGCTGCTTTGACCAAAGCCAGTTTGCCTTTCTTTTCTTTAGTTTGGACGGGGGGAGCCCAAGGCTACACCTGGATTCAGAAAGCACCTGCCACCACTTCGGGCTCAAGTGGATTTTCCGACGGAAATTCCACGAACCATTTAAGTAAATCAATTTGGTGCCTTATGTTTCCACCCAGAAACACACAAGAAGGTGATGCTGCACTTTCACGTTTGTGGGAGGGTACCAGTTGGCCTCCATATCTTTCCCGAGGGCTCATTCCTGGCACTCTCCACTGGGCGCGGGACGTTGCTGAAAGGGTGATGCCTTGTTAGAAGGTCGGTTCCCGCTCGTTTGGGGGTAGTGAATTCTTGGAATTTGTGCGCTTCAAACCTCACATGTCAATGGACGGTGAGTTGACTTTGAAGTAACATATTATTCACCATTCCCGCCAGGATACGATCCAAGCCCAAGCCTGATGCCTAATTTCTGCGGCCTCAACTTGTTTCTGGCCGTTCTTTCTTTCTTTTTTTTCCTGGGCTGTCCTTTGGCCATGGCCCAAATGAGGTCACTGCGCACGGCTTTTGATTGTTGGAGAGGGTTTCTGGGGTGGGGGGCGTTTTTGAATGGATCTCGAAGTGAATGTTGCACATCACTCCGCCAGGCGTTTCAGGCGCCGGAAATGCAGGCTTCCAGGAGTCCAGTGGACTAGTGCCATCCGCTTCGACCGATTGGAGGGTTGACCACGAGCTGGCCATGAATAAGATCTTTCAAAGGGGGATTCCAAGGCTGGAAAAAGAAAAGGGTCCGGTTTCAACGATCCTTCAAAACCAGGTTTACCTGTGGGATTGTCTTGAAGTGGGGTGATGTTGAAAGGGACTCTGCTGCGTTCGCAGGGCACTTGTCCGATTCTGGACTATTAGATTGATCCCCGATATTCATTTTCCGATTGGAAGCCATGCTGCTCCGCCTCCCGGCCCGCCATGCATTTGCCATGTTCTCGGGGGAGGGGTCCATCGGTTTGCAAATACGGGACAAGGGCCTCACAACCCAAAATGCAACACTCCACATGGACTTCACACTCGAGCAAGGCTTCATCTATCGAGAAACATGCATGCCGGTGATTGGTGAAACAGCATGCCGGGCTCGGAGTATGTGGTGCTGCGCATGTGTCCGAGAATGGGGGCATTGCCATTGACACGCTGCATACAACTGGCGCTACTACGACTACGACGACTACTGCAACTGCTGCTACTACTGCTGCTGCTACTGCTGCTGCTACTACTACTGCTACCAGCGAGAAATGCCACTGCTCCTGCTTCTATTGCAATGTATACACATAGAATCAACCGAGCAAACTGCCTGCATGCCTTGCTGTGGCACCCAAGGGGGTTCACAAGGGACCCTTCTGCGTGCCAGGTACATACTTGCATGGTTTCTGCAGGAAGCCCACCAAATAGCATCATACAGCCACACCCGCAAACTCAGGATGTTTCGAAAGCTCTCAATATGTTGGATTAGGTTTTGTTGCCATCTTCAGGATTCCACCTTCCTTCTGTCCATCAAAGCATAGACTGGGAGAACGGCTGGTTGAAACAAAGGGTGGATGAAAGAAGCTGACAATCACCCCAGCAGTTGTGTTTTCCTTTGACCTCATCACTGGCCATCGTGTCACAGTGTCCGTAGGAGCCTTTCGCGACTGGAGGCCCATTTGGCAGAGCAGGCGTCGATTGCCGGGTGGACAGATGGCGGGTGCGGGGTGCTCTCGTTTTCCTTTGCCGACAATGTTTCTGCTCTTGGGTCTTTGCAGCAGCCCTGAGCCCTGCAATCTTTCATGGGCTGGGCTTTCCTCAGAGGGTTGTAACTTTAGGAGTCCAGGGCCACCCAAACCCCTCTTTCAAAGCGCTCGTGATTCTTAAGACGGTCTGCAGCATATCGCAAACTGAAATCCGCAACTTCTTACACCACTTGGCGTTTGAATGTTCCCAGCTTAAATGGACCATAATCTACCAAAAAAAAAAGTTATGGGGCAAAGGCCGAGGTAGATATTGGGGTTCCTTTGACAGGATTTTTTCGGTGGCACCGGGTTTCCTTGGAGTTTTGTGTTGGAACCCTCCCAAAATGCTTGCTAATTTGACACACATCCTTGGCCCATTTGAGGCTCAGAAACCCGCCAAGGACAGATCCGATTGCGAATTCGCTCGCGCAGGGCTCACGAGAGGAGGCAGAGCCCAGAGGCATCGGCTTGGGCTGATGCTGTTTCAACTGAATTTTGTGGGGTGATTTAGACGATACGGTATGTCATGAAGGTAGGATAGTCACTTGTGTAGTTATTTAGCCCCTTACACTATGTCTCGACATTAGGCACCGTTCCCTCCAGGTGGTTGATTCCTTTGTGTGTCCCTTTTGAAACCTGTCATCTGTACAGACAGACCTCGTTTGGCATTCAGTTTCTCATGACCTATGTCATGCTGCAACCTGCCCACGCAGTCACAGCAGTTTCAACGGTGCCAAGTTTCATTCTGCCAAGTCTGGCAGGGACTGAGTACGTGTTCCATTTTTGGACCAACGGCCCGATTTGATCTGCCACTTATCGATGGAGTGGAAGCACGCACAGGAGTTTCTTCAATGCCTGTTGGTCGAACGGGCAACCAAACAAAGACCAAGCATTTGGGTGCCGTGGTTTAGAAAGCCGTATTTCACATAGTACTTAATACTAGCATGACTTTACTTCGCGCCGATGTCCATTATGTAATTCCTGTCAGCAAATGAAGTGGGATTCACCCTTCTTGCAATGGAGGGACAGCGCAGGCGTTTTGACCGCACGGTTGGCTCGTCACCGGCCAGGTGCTGGGGACGTAGCTGGTGGCTCGCGTGCAAAGGACTGGAGGGGAGATCTCGGAAGCTCAAGAGGAGCTACCTTCACATTGGACATGTCCCTTTTGCGGGTAAGCACACCGGGATTTGTTAGGGAGGACAGAAAAACCTGGGGTCAGTGTGTAAATGGAGGATCAGCCAAAGGCAATTGCAATTTTCGGGTCCTGGAAGATCAATGACAGGGAGATTAGTGCTCCGCAAAAACTCAGCCTGTAAGAGTTTCTGACATGCAGGGCGAGAACAGTGATTCAATGTTGTAGATGATAGATTTCGTGGCACTCCCATTGACTTTTCAACAGCTACTCGCCAGAGTCAAAAGATCCTGCGACCTTTAGATGTGGGATTTTATGCGACCCTGAATCGGGTTCCTAAGGGAACCATAAAGGGAACCATGACGTCATGGCCATGGGATCGGCTCACTTGACACTCTGAGTGAGGACGCGCAGGACTTCCAACTGAAGCTCAGTGAGTGGGATGGTTCAATCAACCCGCGAGCGGCCGATTTTTCTTCACCGTCGGTGTTTGGGTAGGGCCCGCGTCCTCGGCCGGATTCGTTTCGCGGAGTGACCCGTCTGTTTGAGCGTCTGCGTTTCGCGATGCAGACGAAATGGCCGGGAAGGGGTCGCTACCCGGTTGTAGGCAGTGGGGAAGTTTGCCAGCGGTTTACGAAGAGCCAAGCCTCAAGGCTTCAAACTCGACCATGCAGCAACCTGCTCAGCAGTCAGGGTACCCTAAACAGGTTCCAATAAACAGGTTTCAGCTTGCATCAAAGGACAATCTGTGCATATCTGTGTAGCATCCGAAAGGGACCCGTTTGATCGAATTAGAATACGGTTAGGATCACCCAAAGCAGGTGCATGTCAGTTGGTGCATGACCTATGCCGCTTGGGGCCAGCTTTGCGGGAGCCTCGCCTTGCTGACTCGAAGTGTGTGCCAGAATCTCGAACAATTGTCCGAGCTTAATTTCTTGGTGTGCCAAGAGCTCGCAATTGTTGCAACAATTGCTGGAGGAGGGCCATTTTTTTTAGGAATTTTTTTCGTTTTTTTTTAGGAATTATTTTTGTTTTTCAGGGTCGGCGGCTTTTCGGCTTTTTGGCTTTTGTGGCTTTTACGTGGGTTTTTGTGGCTTTCGTGGCTTTTCATTTCGCATCATCTGCATTCACAGTTCCTCTCTTTTCGCATCCTCTGCATTGCCAGTTCCGCTGCGGCAGGTGGCTTTTTTGCTTTTTGGCTTTGGCCTTTTGGCTTTTGGCGGCTTTCTGGCTTTGGCTTTTCGCATCCTGATGCTTTTCCAGTTGGCTTCCTGCATCCTCAGCATCGCAAGTTCCTCTCTGGGCCCCCCGCCACCCCCCTGTCGATTAAAATGCACGCCTATTTGAATCATCACTTTTTCGATCATCATGCGACAGCTACTTTTTAGATTCTTTGCCCCTATTTTTTCGATCATCATGGGGGGGGGTGCCGTTTTACAGGGATTAGTTTGCCCGTATTTGAATCCTCACTTGTACCATGAGGCCTTGCCGCAGAGGAACTGATGACCCCCCTGCTGTTTTTTTTTCTTTTTGTTTGGCCCTAATTGAATCATCACTTTTTCAATCATCATGGGGGGGGGCTGCCGCCCCCCCCAACCCCCCCGCAATTTTTTAGACTTTTTTGATTGAATCATCACTTTTTTCGATCATCATGCGACCGCTACTTTTTAGATTCTTTTAATAGATTCTTTGCCCCTAATTTTTCGATCATCATGGGGGGCTGCCGCCCCCCCCCCAACCCCCCCGCTATTTTTTAGACTTTTTGCCCCTGATTGAATCATCACTTTTTCGATCATCATGGGGGGGCTGCCGCCCCCCCCCCAACCCCCTCCCCACGCCTTTAATTGAATCATCACTTTTTCAATCATCATGGAGGGAATTGCCGCCCCCCCCCGGCTGCGTTTTAGGTGTTTTACAGGGATTAGTTTGCCCGTGTTTGAATCCTCACTTGTACCATGAGGCCTTGCCGCAGAGGAACTGATGACCCCCGGCTGTTTTTTTTTTTTGGTTGGCCCTTTTGAATCATCACTTCTTCAATCATCATGGGGGGGCTGCCGCCCCCCCCAACCCCCCCGCTATTTGTTGGACTTTTTGCCCCTAATTGAATCATCACTTGTTCGATCATCATGCGACCGCTCCTTTTTAGATTCTTTGCCCTTAATTTTTTGATCATCATGGGGGGGGCTGCCGCCCCCCCCCAACCCCCCCGCTATTTTTTAGACTTTTTGCCCCTGATTGAATCATCACTTTTTCGATCTACAGGGATTAGTTTGCCCGTATTTGAATCCTCACTTGTACCATGAGGCCTTGCCGTAGTGGAACTGTTCACCCCCCCGCTGCTTTTTATATATATTTTTTGGCCCTAACTACGTTTTAGGTGTTTTACAGGGATTAGTTTGCCCGTATTTGAATCCTCACTTGTACCATGAGGCCTTGCCGCAGAGGAACTGATGACCCCCCGCTGCTTTTTTATATATATTTTTTGTCCCTATTTGAATCATCACTTTTTCAATCATCGTGGGGGGGGCTGCCGCCCCCCCCAACCCCCCCGCTATTTTTTGGACTTTTTGCCCCTATTTGAATCATCACTTTTTCGTCATCATGCGACCGCTACTTTTTAGATTCTTTGCCCCTAATTGTTCGATCATCATGGGGGGGGCGGCGGCAGCCCCCCCCCAACCCCACTTGTACCATGAGGGCTTGGCGCAGAGGCACTGATGCCCCCCCGCTGCTTGTTTTTTAATATTTTTGTTGGCCCTAATTGAATCATCACTTTTTCGATCATCGTGGGGGGGGCTGCCGCCCCCCCCAACCCCCCCGCTATTTTTTGGACTTTTTGCCCCTGATGGAATCATCACTTTTTCGATCTGCAGGGATTAGTTTGCCCGTATTTGAACCCTCACTTGTACCATGAGGCCTCGGCGCAGAGGCACTGATGCCACCCCCGCTGCTTTTTTTTATATTTGGTTTGCCCTAATTGAATCATCACTTTTTCAATCATCGTGGGGGGGGCTGCCGCCCCCCCCAACCCCCCCGCTTTTTTGGACTTTTTGCCCCTATTTGAATCATCACTTTTTCGATCATCATGCGACCGCTACTTTTTAGATTCTTTGCCCCTAATTGTTCGATCATCATGGGGGGGCTGCCGCCCCCCCCAACCCCCCCGCTATTTTTAGACTCTTTGCCCCTGATTGAATCATCACTTTTTCGATCATCATGGGGGGGCTGCCGCCCGCCCCAACACCCCCGCGCCTCCAGTTGAATCATTACTTTTTCAATCATCATGGGGGGGGGCCCCCCCCCCAAAAGGCTGCCGCCCCCCCCAACCCCCCTGCGCCTTTAATTGAATCCTCACTTTTACCATGAGATGCGATTTGCTGGTGATGCTGGCGATGTTGGCTGGACATGCGGGGGATGTTGAAAACGATGCTGATGATGTTGACGGACTAGCGTAAAATACGTACATTTCGCGAGAAAATGCTGTAAATTACAGCATTTTAGTAGCCAGGACGGAAAACAAAAAAAATTCTTAAAATAAAACAAAAAAAAATCCCAAATTAAATCTCGACCCATTGCTGGAAGGTCTTTGATACGATGGAAACGCTAGGCATTGCTTAGTTGCAGTGTACGTCTTTGGCATTGATCTGCTGTTCGATGGAGAGATTTGCCACTAGTTTGAGATTATTTGGTGCTATATTGCTACAAGTGCAGCCAATGTGTCCACGAGCGTCGCTGGAGCCTGAAAAGAAACCGTGCAATGGATGCCTTGAATACTCCAAGTAAGGGAACCAGGGAACCCATGTATTTAATTTAAATACTCCTTTTGCCATGGCTTTGTGGTTGGACATGGTCTATCCACTTGCAACATATTGGGCATCCATATCAATCACATTCGACTCCAAAGCTATGCTTGGCCATCAGCTGCAGCTGAGATCGCAGCATGCGGAGTTCTCCACAACTCACTCGCTGGGTTCCGGACTTTGCACTTGTTGGGCAGTAAGCAGTATATTTGTTTGGCCAATCCACTCAGGAAGTCAGATAATGAATATACTCACAGCCAAGAGGTTGAATCCAAAAAGCCCATGCTGGGGTGAACCTACTATCATGCCGATGGAGCAGGGGTTTGCAAGCACAGTTTGCTTATCCCACTTGGACCGTATCGGCTGAAGAAGAGAGCCACGGACAATGCCGGGCCTTTGAGCACAAGGTCGGGAGGTTTGTTTGCTACGTGCTTGACGCTATCAGGATTCCATTGTTTTATTACCCCAAGGTCGACTTAAACTTACCGGTACCCCTTGTGGGGAAATCAACCACCCCAAGATGTAAGTTCAGCTTGTCGCAATCAACACGTGGAACCCTGCAGACATTGCCTCATCCTTGAGCAGGTTTTCCACATGGGCATGTGTTAATATGTGTGGCTTAAAGATAAGTACATGTACCAGGGATCCTGACCTTGACGCGTTCCCAATTCTGTCAAGCGTCCCAAATCTCGCGATGATTCCCGCAATGCGAGTTGCACAGTGCTGATTGGGGAGGATGGTCATGGACGAAGCAAAGAACATGGGTTGGGTGATGGCAGCATGCCCCACTGGCGCAGAGTTGGCCACTAGTCATTCAGAATCATGCACTTTAGCGGCGGTATTACCTAGGGCACAAACACAGGTGACACAGTACTTCACCTTCCTGGGAAGATGCTGCAGTTGTTTTCCTGACCGCAAGTAAACCGACAACTCAACTCGCTAAATTGCGTGCCTTGGTCCCCTGCTCCCTGTTTGCAACATCTTGAATACTCAGCAAGTGAGCCGTTTTCCTTTTGAGGGTCTTATGGACTGATGAAACAGAAATGATAATGTGTGTCTTCTCGCCCTTTGAGAACACTTGGAAGTTCTTACAGCTTACATCAGATGGCTCACCAATGGTAAATCAGCCAACACAAATCCAACTATTACTATTGCTTTTGTTGCGTATTTGGCATGTTGTGCACTGCTCGTTTTTTGTTTATGACCGTGGCGGTGGATGAAGGCCCGGTGCCGCTGAAATCAATCCTTGGCATGTCTCATTGGTACACGAGTTACACTGGCGTGCGGTGCTGTTTGATTTTGTGTTGAACATGTTGAACTCAATCTATGTGTTTGCATCATGTTGTGCAGTCTTCAATGCTCACACACATATATATATATATATATGTATGACTGAAACACTCGGCTCCGCAGGGACCGTGCGGCGACGCAATGGGTGGGCAACCTATTTGTACCTGCCATGCAATGGGCGCATCATTTGCCACAGTTCCCTTGGTTTGACGTGAGTTTAGCCAGCACCTGTTTCGTATACGATTGCACTACCAGATGTTATGGTTGTTTATCATCCTCAATAATGATGATTACGAATGAATGAGTTCATGCATGCGTGGCTGCTTAGGCGCGTTGAGATTGACTTGAGGTGCGAGCCTTTGCGCGCCGCCCGACAGCCCAAAGCATGAGTTCAAGGACTGATATGCTTGCACTTGAGTTCTGTAGAAGATCTTCGAGAGTTGAGCCATGGCCACAAGAACCCTTTACCTACACTGATGGTCAAGAAGCTTTTATGCTCGCTCTCTCTCTCCCTCTCTGTATCGGATTGTCACGAGGATACTAGTGGCCTGGTTTACCGTCCTGATGCAGGTGGGCCTCAGTTCGACGTTGGTTGACGTCGCTGGCTTCTCGGGCACTGCCGTGGGAGTCCTTTATAAATCGGGGCTGAATCAGATGGCTCCCACCGGTTTTCCTCTCCTTTCCCTGTGGCAGGATCCTAAACGGGTTCCAATAGACCGGTTCCAGCTTGCGCCAAGGGACAATTTGTGTAGAAGCCGGAAGGAACCCATTTGTTCGAATCCGTCTCAACGGGTCGCCCAATATCTGCCCAAAACGACTTGGGCTTCGAGCCTCGCCTCGAGGTGTCTCAGCGACCGCGTTCAATGGCAAAGGCCACGGACCTAGGTCGAAGTTTGGCACTGAAGTTTGGCATTGAAACGGTACCCTCCAAGGGTTGGCATTGAAAAAGTACCGTGACCCCAATGGTTTGGCTTTTTTTTTGGGGGGGGGCCGTGATATGATTCACTTTCGAGGTCCCCGACTTTCAGACAAATCCATGGCCTGCGCTCAGGGGGGCACTACACGATTGGGGCCAGGGGCTCGAATCGCCATCGGCCCTTTGGGTCGGTGAAGAATTGGCTTTAACATGAAGGACAAGCCTCTTCAATTAAGTCGGGGATTATTAATCCTGCGTGCACTCTTGGGAATGACCCAACATAATAATTTGGAAACAAGGAACAATTTGGAAGTATCCCAAAAGGAGATCATAGTTTTCAGCAATGCTGCAGTGTGTTTCAAGAACCCGTACACACAACCCTGAAGTCCCAACAGAGCTGTGCATCTGCCGTGAGACACGGCCATAGGCGAAGGCTGCTTCCGCCCCGCGCCCCGAGCCAGCCGTGGCCGCGGCCAGAGCTGCTCCGTCGGGGGAGCGGACTCTTCCCCCGCCCGCGCAGCTGCCTCCACAGGCTGGGGGCATTGGGCAAGTCTGACATTGTTTGAAGGTGCTTTACATGACCACTGGTCCAGAATCAAGCATATGTGTTGGGGCTGATCGCCCTGCTATTTCCGCTTTTGGTGCTGGGTGTGTGTGTGTGTGTGTGTGGGTGTGCATATGTGACCATATGTGTGTAGATGTGTGTAGATGTGTGTAGATGTGTGTAGATGTGTGTAGATGTGTGTAGATGTGTGTAGATTGGTTGACAGGGAAGGTAGGACGCTACATCCAACAAGGTAGTCTTGAGGTAGTCCGGAAGGACCGCCTGGCCTGGGAACCCAAAACCAGGCAGCGATGCCTCCAACTGCTTGATTGTGAGGAATCTCATCGCCTCCCCCCAACACGGCGTTGATTGGATGGTTCCCAGCCGAAATTTACAGGGCGGCCTTTCCCGTTTCCCGGCCGCTTCTGGTGCACAGAAGGGGGCGCCCCATGGATCGAAGTGAAATCCACCGAAAACCCTCTGAAAAGGGAAAGTGGGATAAATAAACCACTCATCAACTGGTGCTGAATTTTGTTCATCCGGAGTAAGACCGTGCCAGAGCCGAGCTGTGTCTCATTTTGTCATCATCTCCATCATCATTAATAGGATCGCAGTAATTTTCAGGGCAAATTCTTTCAGACGGCGATTTCATGCTTCCCGAGCCGCGAGGATACACGCCTGGCACTGAGGGCTGTTGACTTGAAAGTTGCCGACCAACCAAAAGGGGCAGTGGGACTTTGGATAGAAAGCCGGTGTTAGGCGTGGCGAGGCTTGGAGCAATGTACACTCAACGTCGTAGCCCTCTGAAAATGATGGCTCTTTGGAGCAGTTAGTCCAGGGAAAAAAATAGGGATGCGACCTTCATGGTGCCACTGGAGCTTTTGATGTACGCCATGAGACTGGGGCTGGCACTGAGGGCCCGTGGATGGCATTGTGGACACTGGCGAGCGCCGGAGTCGCTCAGACCCCATCAGGCGTGCTGTGTCTGCCAACCGCCAAAACGGAAAATCGATCCTCCATGTTTAGGGGACATGTCGAGGTTCCAGGTATAGATGGGGGGCTCTTTGAGTCGAAAGGAACCGCCCAGTTTTGGGTGACAGACAGATCTTCCCGGGCTTCATGGCGTGTGACTTGTCTTGTGACCGACTGTGTATCATACGGTCCCAAGCCCCCTGTGGTTTCCTCTCAGGCCTCATCAGGGAAGGGAGAGTGGGGCTTGAGGAAGTGTTGCACACGTTTGGCCCCGTGTTGGCGCGACCACCCAAACCCGCTCGTCATCCCGCCTTCTCGCGTGATTCTGTCGATTGCCAGGAAGATGAGAGTGGAGGCCGAGAGCTTTGCATCCGCTGTTTGCCGGTTTGTTGCTTTTGAATGCTTTGGTGTTTTTCCCCAAATAGCTGAAAGCTGTAGGAGTTCATGCTAAGGGGCATGTAGTTTGCAGGTGCTGTTTGGGTGTCGTTTGAGGTGCTGGTGACGGTGCGGGCGCATTTTTGCAAGATTGACGGTAGGGTGCTAGGGGGCATACAGTTTGGGATGCTGCTGCAGGTGGTTTTGGGATGCTGTTTGGGGTGCTGCTTGAGGTGCTGGTGATGGTGCGGGTGCATGTTTGTGAGATTGACGGCTGGGTGCTGTTTGGGGCGCTCCGGGGCTGCTGTTGGAGGTGCTGTGCAATAATTTGCATGTTCGCGATTGGGGGTCTACGCTTGAGTACTTTTCTTGGAGTTGGCATTCTGTGGTTTGTAAAGGAAGCCAAGAAAAGGCACGGATCCAAATCGGAGAGCAATCGTTGTGGTTCATAATCCTCGCTGTTGCTGCTGCGATTTTGGGACTGCGCTTCAAAATGAATGGTCGAGCCATGTTACGCAGTATTCCAGCTGACTAGAAACCGTGGTCAAGCTAATGAAAAAAGTATTGTGACAGGAGTCCACACGGGAAACATGCAAGTCGCCATAGCTTTCTTCTGTACATAATTTCCTGAAATGTTATTGCGCATGCTCTTCAAAGCCCTGCGGAAAGAGCTTCCGCACAAGATTTCTTCGAGGGAAGCTCTACCAATGTGTCTGTAGAAAGTCTTGCACAAGATTGCAGGATCTTTTGATGGGATCTCTTGGCAATCTGTGCGCAGGATGTCCGAGAGAATCCTCTACAAGTGCGTTCTTCAGGATCTGTAGAGAGAACCCTCTACAAGATAGTTCGAAATGAAATCTTTGCGAGTCCTGCGCAAGATCTGCTGCGGGGATCTCCATAAAGGATCAGCTCAAGGTATCTTCAGAGGGATCTTTGCAGAATCTTTTCACAAAATGACATTTTGTTTGCAGAATCTCTCACAAGATCTCTTGAAAGGATCTCTTGGCAAGATCTGTGCGCAGGATCCATTGCGACGGCGATTCAACACACGGAGAGTGTTCATTTGCGATTCAGTTGAGACGCTCAAAACGCACACCCCTCCGCAGCCAGACCAATCCGACCCACCTATTCAACCCTCCGCAGAGGCTGCGGTACCACCTTTGCGAAATTCGTACGGCGCCACAGTGCCCCTGGAAGACAACAAATTGGTCCCGCACTTCGTGCCAGCCCGCGCAATCAAAATGCACACATGAACATCTCACAATGGAACTTTTGTATGCCCCCCTGACCGCAAGAACACTTAGTGTAGAGACATACTGTTTGGGGAAAAAATACTGCCCTCCACCCGACGTTTGCGGCCAGATCGCAGAGATGAACTACAAGATGCGTAACATGTGGCAAGTGCCGGCGTGCCGGTACGTTGCCTTCAACGACATTGTGAAGGTCAACAAGTCCCAGGCTGACTGCGTATTGTCGCCGCCGAACCCGGCTTGAAATATGGGACATGTGGATCTATAATGGTTTCGCTATGTTTCGCTGAAACGCCTTGTAGTTGCCCTTCAAAGCTCCAGAAAAAAGGGTTCCATCAAAGAATGTGCGCCCGCGTGGCTTTGCAAGGGGGCCTTTTGAAAAAACTGGTTAGGTCCCAAAATTGTGTGAAATTTGCAACATGTGCAGTTTTCCCAGACATTTCACAATGTCCTGTAGTGTATGGTCAATGTGGGGCAGACATAGGGAACTCGCTAGATTTCCCACGCCTGGCACAGTTTGACCATGGCTCGCATGGGTTGCGAGTTTGCTTACTGAACGCATGCCAGGTTTCTCCCCTTGTCAAGGTGCCAAAAGCGGCGCCCTCAAAGCAGGGAGGGCGTTAAGGGGTGTCGGGTTACAGTAGTAGGGATGCCCATGGACCCCTTTATTTATGTATATATATATATTATAATAGGGAATTTGGATTCCACCTAATTAAAGACCATGGCCAAAAATAGAGAGCTGTGGCCATGGCACGCATGGCGGCACAATTTGTGTTCGCACCAGTTTTGCCAGCATGGAGGAATGCGTGACTTTGCGGTCGGTACTCAAGCAGGCCATCTTCGTCCAACCGAATCTCTGAACTGCGAAGCTGTGTGCCTATCTACACTATTCCTTGCGCCACAAAACAGCGTACTACACTGGCACCAACGGCTTTTTTGCTGATGCAGGGTCTGTCGCAAGGCTTGTTGATGGCCAGTATGTCCGGGGTTGGATGAGGCGTTCATGCGTCCTGTCAATGTGACAAGAGATGGACTGCCGCAACATGCTGACTCTCACCCAAGGTCACTTTCTCTACATGGTCAACTGCCGATGCTGGAATCTTACTGCACAAGTAGACGACGGGCAATAAGCAAGACACCTAGTCAATGGCCACTAGTTGGGTAAAGCCCTTCGATTTGATTCGGATTGATACATTTGTTTGGACCCTTTGGTCCACATTATGCAGGGGACATCTATCCACCAGTGATTCAGTGTTTGTCAAACCACATGAAGGTTAGCCAGGCGGAGTCGTTTCATCCGAGGCTCTTTTAAATTTGGGATCCCAGTCGGGCAAAGTGGTGTGCGGCCTGAACTTCGCCAACGGCGAGCAGGCCGATGTCGGTCAAATGAAGCCGCGAATCCTGCGGTTTGTTTCTGTCAAAATGGTGGAAGCCCAACAAAGAAGAAAGCAAATGGTTGGTTGCCGATTTCATTTTGCTTCCCTTCGCAACAACCCCATTCAGGGTAGGCTTTAAATTTAAAAGCTGGAGACACACACACACACATATTGCTTCTCAAGCCGATGCGCTCAGTATGGGGCTGGCAAGAGATGCATGCATGCACTGAGGAAGAGGGATCGCGTGCGACGGACCCTCCTTTGAGATCGGTCTAGTGTTTTCGGTTGGGGGTTGAAAGCTGGGTATGTTCAACCAGTAATGAAACAACTCGGCACAAGTTGGTCACGTTTGCCGAACCACAGCCAGGTGGGAGGTGGCTACAAAACTGGAGCTTTGGCCCAGGACAATGCGCACCGGTTGTGTTCCCCAGAATTTTATGTGCCTTAGTCTCAAGACACGGGAACCGCCAAAATGTGGGTTGTTTCTCTGGTTTGCCCAACAAACCAAACAAATACCAAGCAGGCTGTCCTCAAAAAAAACATTCCCCGGTACCCAGTGTCTCGTGGCGATTCCCAGTCATCGACACTCAGGAGGAGGACCTGTGCAGACGGATCC